TGAGAGGCAGACCAGTCTATAAATACTACTGGTCTGTCCTCTCCTAGGTCCAACTGGCCTAACCGTGAGGCCCAGCATGAATGGCCTGGGAAACACCGGACACTTGGATCGAATCTGACAGTCCAAGTGTGGCCTGGGAAAAAAAGGAGGCCAGGGCCTGAACAGCTACCGGTACCAGGGCCTGGCCAGACCGAACCTGGTGTGGGCCTAAAACGGCCCTTTTTCTGGCCTCAAAACTAATGTGCTGGCCTGAAGCTAAGTCCCTACCCCTTCCTACCTACCTGGCGGGTCCTACTGGGCCCGTGTGGGATGTACATATGCCACACTCCGCCTTTACTCTGCCTCCTTTCATAATGTGCTATTTGGTCGTTATGGCACATACATGCAAACAGATGGCACCTCACACTGGCGCCAAGCGCCTACTCAAAGCTCAGAGATCTGAAAGTCGAGAACAGAGTTCAGATGCAAAACTCACTTCAACAGGCTATGGCGCATCAGCGCCTGTACATCCCAACTCTCGTCACTGTGTCCAACACCACTGTTCCCTGTATTACACACATATACACACTGAAGCCTATCTCTGATCTACAGCGGCTATGGCTGCTCAACTACTACTGGCTATGGCTACGCTATCTTCTTTCAGCCCACTTCGACTTTGGGCGAGCTGCAGACCACCTCGCACAAGACGCTGTGGCAGCGCTTCCGCATGGCTTACGCAGCGAATGAATGAATGGCTGGACGCTGCCTCTTGATTTATACTTCTGTAAGTCGTTGGTCTGCCCTTTTCCACCGGGCTCATGGTGCACACAGTCCCTCGTGGTACTTGCTGACTGTTACAAAGTAAGACTGGGACTGGGTACCACTGACTAAGCGAAGTTGGACTCACCACTTGCCCACTGGCCTCTGGTCTGCTGTGTAAATCGCGAGAAGAAACTTGAAAGGCCACTTCCGGACCTTCCGGAATTTGCGGACTTGGCCTTTCAAGACTGTAGCAACTACGACCTTGACCTTTCAGGACTGTAGCAGCTACGACCTTGACCTTTCAGAACTACAACAACTACGACCCCTATGTAGGTGTGACCCCTACTTCAACAGGTCTAAGGTTCAAGACCCTACCTCTACTCAGACCTACGACAGACAACTTCAACTACTAACACACAGATCACGGGTACAAGACTCACAGGGTCGACTCGATACTGTACACAGGTAAGGTAAGGTAAGGTGAGGTCTGGGATCTGCATCTGTGTCTGCAAAAAGTTGAAAACCGTTTCAGCAGTATGTTCTGGACGCACACACCCCCACACACACCTCCGCCTTTACTCTGCCTCCTTTCATAATGTGCTATTGGGCCGTTATGGCACACGGGGATGTGGGCAGCTCACGCCATGGTTGTCCATCCCCCGGCCCCGGACCCCCAGCGGGCTGGGCACCCCCAACCCCGGGTCCATACAAGAAAATTCGAAAAAAAAAATCAGAAAAAAATAAAGAAACAGTGGCAGCGACGACATATTTGTGAAGATGCGGACTACCTGCACCTGGACAGAAAGACCCTATGAAGCTTTACTGTTCCCTGGGATTGGGTTTGGGCTTTTCCTGTGCAGCTTTGGTGGAAGGTTTAGAATGTCTTTTCCGGAAAGACTGGAGCCATCAGTGAGATACCATTCTTGAGAAGCTAGAATTCTAACCTTAAGGGAAGCTGGGCCAGGTTCCCAGCCGTGTTGCTCCCCACGAATAGATTGGAGCATCGTCTCACAAAAAAAAAAAAAAAGAGAATTCTAACCTTATGTCGTTTCCGGCTAAGGAAAGGTCTCAGGTTAGACAGTTTCTATGGAGCGTAGGCCTGCCAAAGGGTAACGGAGGTGTGCAAAGGTTCCCTCAGGCGGGATGGAAATCAGACATGGAAGAACTTATCAAAAATCATTGTGCATAGCTTTTCATGTTGAAGTGAATGATATGCAATATATGTACCAATTACCCACCCGTTTGGGTGGGGTTGTCAATCTTTCTTGAAAAAGCCATGAGACAAATTTTCCCCACCTTGGGGTCCACGGGGGCAGCTGGTTGGGAATTTTTTTCGGCCCCGTGGAGTCCCGGTTTGGGGAGGGGGGGGAAGTGGTTCTCTGCATTATTCCTCTCGGGGAGTGTGGGGAAGCAAAAAAAAAAAAAAAGCTGAATTTGCACCCTCGGGGGTCCGGGGAATCGGGGGTCTGGGGTTTGGTCGACAACCCCAGCTCAGCCCGAGGGGATCCCCGCATGACAACACTGGCTCAGGCTCAACCACAATCAACGTGCCGAGCCTTGTACATGAGAGGCACAGTAAAAGGGGAGTTGCAAGGACAAATGAAATGGGTACCCAAAAACGCCAAAGTGAACACAGTTCACAAAGGGATTTAGACACTTCCATTTTGCTCCGTGTTGCTTGCTATAAACGTAGCTCAGTAGCTGTTTCATTGTTGATTTGCCTCAACTCAAGTGTTTTCATTGTCTGCAATAGGACTAACGCTGCTTTGATTTTGGATCTACTCATCTGGGTAGATAGGGGCTGTTGTGGTGAAAATTCAAAACACACATTTGTTGGTTGTCATTTGTTTATATACGTGGCCTTGTTCTTTGCCCTGCTTTAAGGCATGGGCTGTCTTTTTAATGAAGGAATGTCTGTGGATGGCCACAAGTTTTTCGGGGTGGGAATGGATGTTTGGAGTTTTGGCCACGGTGTCTTTGCGAGGAGGCTCAGAGAGTGTTTGCTGTGGGATCACATGGAAGAAACGGGGGCTTCCAGCGTGTTTAAGCAGTGGTGTTGCATGGAGATCTTGTGGATTTTGGTATGATTTATGGTGGCTTTGTGGGCTGACACAGAGGGCTCTCTTAAGTTTTTTCAGACCATTTGCAGCATGGTCGGTCCTTTCTTGTCAGTGGAGCCTTATTTGTTGACAATGTGGTAAAAGTTCCGTAAAAGTAGTTTTTTTTTTTTTTTTGTTGGGGTCTATACACTCCAGGGCCCAGACAACAAAGTGAAAGGGAGATTGTCTAGCCATGGAGTGATGGAG